AATATAAAGATATAATAAAGAATTAATATGTTTTTTATAATACTTATCAGTACCTGATATAGGACTCTGAGCTATATATATAGAGGTAAGATGCAGCTAAAAAAATTACTATTAGCTCTATGCATTTTTTCAGGGCCGGAATTATGATAATGCCAGCCAGCATCTAAAAAAGAAAATAAATTTCGGCTGGAATTATCTATAAAAAAAAAGATCTACATAATTATTTTGGTCAATTCTACACAAACCTTTACCCTATCTTTTTATGTATAGCTTGGAATCTTCCTGATATATATCAAACCTAGTACTTTATAACATGTAAACATATTTTAAGTATTAAGATGTGCATGTTATGGGTATCTGATATATTACTAAAGTATAAAAAATACACTAATACTGTATATATATATTATCTAATTGATAATATATATAATATATAAGAAAAATAAATATTGCATACATTAGGTATTTGATATATATAAAATAGACTATCAGAATCAGGTATATTAGTAACTATTAAAAGGGATATTAGAGGATTTGAATAATACTAATATAACTTATAAGTAAACTTTAAGTACTAAAGTAAAAATACATTTTATGACATAACTTAATCAATATTGAAGCTAGGAATTCGATTTACTATCATTAGGAATCCTCTCATCAAGATGAATCTAATGATATAAATTTTATTAAAATCGAATCACTGGTTGTGTTAAAATAGGGGTATGTAGGATAACAAATTTTGAAAATATCCCTATAATACGCAACTTTTGAAAAATTTTAATATAAACTCTATGCAAACTCAAATGTGAGTTATATCAGTATTGGTTGTGATCCTGATATCAGGAGTCTGAAATTTATATTTTCAGAAGTGTATGTTTATAGAAAAAAATCAGGTATATGATATATTACCAGGTTAAAAAACTATCTGATATGTACAGTCGGGTCCGAAAGTGACGCCCGATTTTGTACGGTGTTACGATACACAAAATTTACATTATTTATACCCCCCTTTTTTTTATTTTTAAATGTTTTTCTCACAATTTCATAACCTAATAAACGCGTTGCAAAGTTAAAAAAATAATGTCACATAGAACTGAGTTAACTTCTCAAGATAAAGGAAAAATACTAGCATATATGGAGAATTTTAACCCTGCACAAATAGCAAGAAAAATGGGTCGTGACCCCACCACAATAAGAAGAATTATTGACAGATACAAGAAGACAGGGAAAACTGAAAATTTACCTAGATCGGGGCGTCCACCTGCTCTCAATAATAATGAGAAAAATGCACTCATAAACAAAGTTACACAAGATCGACGCGAACCTTTACATGAAGTCATTAATACATTAGATTTAAATTGCAGCCTTACAACTGCTAAAAGAGCATTACATAGTGTTGGAATTTATTCCCATGTTGCTGCAAAAAAACCCTTTATCTCAGAAAAGCATGCATTAGCTCGTATTAGTTGGTGTGAGAAATATAAAGAAAAAACAGCTTATGATTGGGCACAAGTTATTTTCTCAGATGAATCAAGTATTGAGATTGGCAAGCAGTCATGACAAATAAGAGTTTGGAGACACACAGGGGAAAGGTTTAACACTGAATGCTTAACACCTATCTTTAAAAGTGGTCGAAAATCAGTCATGGTTTGGGGATGTTTTGCAGGAGGGATAAAAGGGCCATTAATTTTTTGTGATGAAAATAAAGAAGGAAATGAAAAAATCAATTCAAATACTTACATTAGAATCCTAAATTCATATCTGTATCCATTTCAGCATACAGTTCATGAGTTAACAGGAAGGGCTGCAATTTTTCAACAGGATAATGCACCCATACATACCGCGAAAATAACCAAGGATTGGTTGAAGAAGAATAAAATTGTGGTTATTGATTGGCCGGCAAATTCTCCCGATCTAAATCCAATAGAAAACATCTGGAAGCAGTTAAAGGACAATATCCAGAGTTGTAAAGTCTTTCCAAGAACTGTGGATGAACTTAAAGTTGCACTAAGTGAAGAATGGGAAAATTTGGATTGCTCCATTTTTGAAGAGGTTGTTGCTTCAATGCCACAAAGAATAAATGCAGTACTAGAAGCAAGGGGAGGGCCAACACATTATTAACCATTTTTAGTAATTATTTTTTATGTGAATTTTAATGAAAATCAATAAAGTTTTGCCATTTTTGGCATTAATTTTAAATCGGGCGTCACTTTCGGACGTGACTGTACTTAATATGTGGAGTATTATAAAATATGAATTTTACATATGTCAGATATCTGATAAATCTCTTTTTGACCAGTATTTAATTTGTTATATTAGGATAAGATTAAGTTTTATTATAGAGTTATATCATGTTGCATGTATAATTCTAGTAAGTATTTTGATTAAAGCTCCTAACAGGTCAGTTTAGTCTGGATTATAGATGATTCAGATTAGAGCTGAAATCCATAAGAACTGAACTGAAAAACCGGCAGTTCGGTTCAGTTTAATCCGATTTTTATAAAAATGCGAAAAATCAAATAGCCACCCATATAGTAATCGTACAAAGTCGAGCCATATATCATTGGATTCGTCTCGATGAGACACGTTAAATGGTGGTAAGATCATATCTCTAGCATTGATAGATCACAAGTTAACTCACGCTAAATGATTTACAATAATTGGAATTAGTAAGTCATCTATCAGCACCATTCCATGTGTCTCAGTGAGATGAATCTAATGAATATAAATTCGTCTGTGTATGACCACTGGATGGCGAATAATGTCAAGTTTCGCATTTTTTTAAAATTTTCGAGTGTTAAAATTAAAAATTCCGATATATGAATTTATTTGTCATCTAATGGTCATACAAATATGAATTAAGATTTATTAGATTCATCTCGATAAGACGAGTCAAATGGTGGTGAGATCATGTCTCTAGCATCAATAGATCGTAAGTTAATTCACGCTAAATGATTTATAAAAAATTGGCATTAGCAAGCTATCCATCGATGCTAGAGACGTGATCTTACACCATTCAATTCGTCTCATCAAGACAAATCTAATGAATCCTAATTCATATTTGTACGACCATTAAACGACGAATAAATTCATTTATTGATAAATCATTTAGCATGGCTTAACGTGTGATCTATCGATGCTAGAGACATGATCTTACCACCATTTGACGCGTCTCATTGAGATGAATTCAGTGATATATAGCTCAACTTTATACGATCACTAGATGGATAGCTATCTGATTTTTCGCATTTTTATAAAAAATCGGATTAAACTGAACTGAACCGCCAGTTTTTCAGTTCTAATACCCAAACCAAACCAAACTGAATTTTGAGCCGGTTTTGGATTGGTTCCCCGGTTTAGCCTGAACTGTTAGGAGCTTTAATTTTGATTTTTGAATAATAAAGAGAAATCACTGGTCAAAAACTGATATATCAGTAGCAGATATGTATCAGATATATACCTGATATGTGTAGTATTAATGCAGAAAATCAGGTACCCGATATGTGTAAGATATGTATAAATATATATATCATATATATATCAGGTACTAATATGTATATGATATGTAAATGATATGTAGATGATATATATATTTACACATATCTTACACATATCGGGTACCTGATTTTCTGCATTAATATTCTGTGGCAATCCAATTATAACAAGAAGGATTAGATAATTTGACATTTTACATTAGATAATATTTAATAGTTATTCAGCACGAAGTGCCAAATAACTGTTATATTAGGTAAATTAAGTTTGATTGGTGATCCGGGCTCTGTAGGAGCCTGAGATCAACTGATTAAATTTGATTTCCAATATAATAAGCTACCTTTAGATAGCATTAGTTATTCGGTTCAAAGTGCCAAATAAGTGATTTATCTGGTATCCTGTGATTTGATATTGCCTGATACATAAATTTTTGCCTGATACACGATTTTTTTGCCTGATATGCGAATTTTTGCCTGATACATGATTTATTATAACCATTTTTAATTATAAAAAATCATGTGATACCGGATAAAATATATTTATTTTGTAATTGCACTGTATTTATAAATAAACAATATTTTAACAATTAATCTATCTATATATTAAAAAACACTGCAATCACGTGGGCGTTATGTTTAGATTAACCATATAAATAAGTCATTTGAATTGTGTAACCCTACTACTATTCGTCGCAAATATTACACAAGACAAAAAAAGGAAATTTTATTTCTGGCGAAAAACTGAAATTTTGGGTTATACAGGATTCCATAAAAGGAAATTGTCAGTTATGCCAATTTCCAAAAAAGGAAATTTTGTCTTCTGTTACTTTTCAGAGAAATTAAAAAAATGTGTTGTTCAAATTTGCAAAAAAGGAAATTCTTTGCAGATCTTTTAATTCTGGCTGGAATTACATATTAACTGTTGTTGTAGACAACAGGTGAACACTAGTGAAATTTTAAATATACAATACTACACATATCAGGTACATATCTGATATATATCTGCTACCTGATATATCAGTTTTTGACCAGTTCTGAAAGGTTAAAAAGTAGTGTGTTTTGGTTCCTACGCCTTTAAAGTTTAACTGGCCAAGTAGTTCGCAGGTCAGACCATTATTTCTTGAAAGAAGCTCCTGATTAACGTATTTCTTGCTAGTTGATGTTGTTAACTAGAGAGTTAGTTTTCTAAAGTAAGAAGACGGAGTTGAGGTATATGTTTAGTGTTTTTTACTCAGGTTTTTCTCATTGCACTTAGAGTTTTCCTAAGGTTTATGTTTTTATTTTTTGCTTTTTGTTTTTCTTGGTCACTTTTTTCAGTATAACCTAGAGGTTAGATAAATATACGGAGGGTCAACTCAAATATTATACAGACTGATCAGTGACTGACAGATCTGTCACTATATATAAATTACTATGATAAATAGTAAAATGTAACATTACTCCAAGTTTAGAGTAAAAGATCGGCTGATAATCAAATTAATCATGAAAAAAAATTATTATGCGGTAATAATGAAACACGAAACTAAAGCTCCGAACGGTTTGGGCTAAACTGGAAAACCAATCTGAAACTAGCTCAAAATTCGGTTCGGTTCAGTTTGGGTATTAGAATTGAAAACCAGCGGTTCGGTTCAGTTTAATCCGATTTTTATAAAAATGCGAAAAACCGAATAGCCGGTTTTTATATTTAATTCTATTTATTTTTTTAATAATAATTTTTGTTTTAAGGTTTTGAAAACGTAACTCATATTCGAGGTACTCAGCTTATTGGCAATGATAAAGATCATACTCCTTTTGCTTTAATGGAAAAAAAAGGCCAACCTGATAAAATATATCGTAGAATAGATTGCACACTTGTAGTGACAAAAAAAAATATATGTGAAAATTGCACAAAATTGCAAAATACTATGTATATAATTCAGAAAAGAATTTTAGCTGGAACAATTTCTGCAAAAGTAATACATGCATCAAAAGAAATTCTTATAGAAAAAGTTGATAAATAACGAAAAATTATCAGAGGACAAAATGAAATAATTGTTGGTCTAAAAGAGCGTCTAGAAGAAAAAATTAAAAAAGAAGAAGTAGAAGTATCAGATAATATTGCAAATATTACACATATTGTTACTAAAGATGTTATTAATAAAAATATAAATTTTTCTACTCTTCATCCTATTTTTCAAGAACTCATTCGCATTCAAACTGGAAAACCAAAAGATATCATCTAATGTAAGATTAATTAATTGATAAATATTATATTAAATATAAAAAAAAATTTTATATATTTTTTAAATTTAGGTTTTTACATTGGGTTATATCTGTATATAGTAAATCTGGTCATGCAACTTATGATGCAATGAAAGTAATTATGCGTTTACCATCAATTTCTACCCTCAAAAGCTATATTAATGAATGTGAGCAAAAATCAGGTTGGCAAAATAAAATTACTTATCAGATGTTAACTAGCTTAACAATAAACAAAATTTGGGAATATGGATGAGTGGGATTTTTTTTACATGATTCTTTTAAGATTCAAAAAGGTAAATTATAATCATTGTTAAATTTATAAGTAAATTTTAATTAATTTTACTATATAAATTTATATTCTTTAGGTCTTTTTTGGAATCAACATAAAAATTGTTATGTTGGTTATTTGGATTTTGAAAATGAAATGCAAGATTATCAAGCATTTGCTATACAATGTCAGCAAGAAATAGAATCAACATCAACAGAAAACAAATCTTTATTTGATGAACAAAAATATGGACTTGCAACTCAAGTTCATCAAATTGTTTGGCATTCAGTAACATATAACTTTGCATTTCCTATATCATATTATGGTATTAATAATATAACAGCACATTGCTTAAACACATTAATTTTTAGTCTTGCAGCAAAACTGAAATGCGTAGGAATACATACAATTGGTTCAGTTTGTGATGGAGCAGGAGAAAATAGAACTCATATTAAGAGTTTTGATTAGTATGCATCAAAATGGTCTTTTGGAGATTTAGTAGAAGTCAATTTTAATAAAGATAAAAGATCTTTTTATGCAGCAAAAATTATAGATAATAATTTTAAAAGAACAAAGTTTACTGTATGTCAACTTGATTGTAATGATCCTAATAAAAAAATTGAAGTTAAACGAAACTTTATTCGTCCACCAATGCCTTTAAAATTAAAATGGAATGTTAATGAACGATGTGAATTTAAAAATTCAAGAGATAACCAATGGTATTTAGGAAAAATCACTAAATTTGATCCAGTTGAATCAACATTATCTGTGAAAATTAAAAATACTAAAGAAGGTTGGAAAGTTTTTAGTTATCATATTGGTAAATTTCTTCGTCCTATTTATAATAGTCAAGAACTTTTAGTAAATCATAAAACAATTAATCCTATTACTGGTGAAAATTGGTTTTTTATTAGTGATCCAACCCATGTTTTTAAAAAACTTAGAAACAATTTATCAAAAAGTCATACAGGTGAAAAAAATGCTAGAGAAATAATGTTTAAAAAAAGGAAATTAGTTGGAAATATATAAAAGGTGTATATGAATATACAAATCAACATACAACAGCAAAAGCTACAAAATTAACTAAATGACATATATGGTTAACCTTATGGAGTAAAATGCATGTTGATTTTGCTGAACATACATTATCAAAAGAAGTTGAAGATGCATTAGCATCTATTAAAAAACTTAAGGAAATATCAAAGGAAACAAGAGTAAGTAATTATTAAATTATTTTAATTATTTTATAAACTTATTTATTTAAATAAAATTAAAAAATTAATAATCATTTATTTTAAAGGATTATATTAAATATTCACGAAAGTATTATCAAATAATGCATAGTAAAATTAGTATCCAATCTTTGACAGATTCACATATTAATACTTTAATGGAAATTCGTAATTGGTTTATACTTGGTGATAAGTAAAAAACAGAATCTAAGGAATGGATTTCATTACAATGCCAATTTGATCTTATTTTATCTATCAATGGTTTTCTTGGAATGCTCACATTTTTTTTAAATAAATATCCAAATTCAATGATTCAACCAAAACGTATTTCTCAAGATATGCTTGAAGGACTTTTTGGTACAATTCGTGAACTTGGTAAAGATTCTTTTACACAAACACTTAAATCCTATAGACATTCCTTAAACAAATATCAAGTTACAAGATTAGTTACATCTGAAGTAAAAAGTTTTAATTATGGTGATGCAGATGGTACTGGAACTGGTATTACTACATTAGCAAGAAGGTAAATATTATTTATACATAAAAATATTATTTTTAAAATCATGTTCATTTAAATATTTTACAATTTAATAGAGACTATAGAAAAGATAAAAACAAATCAATAGATAATGAAAAAATAACTGTATAAATCAAAAATATTCTACTTGCTTAGAACAATTATCATCTCTTTCTCACAATGTATTTGAAAGTATTTTTGCTGATAATTTAATTATGGGAAAAATTCAGATTCCATCAAAATCAAATAACGAAAATATTGATCAAGAAAATCATAGAATTCATCAACTTCAGGAAGAGCGACAAAATCTTATAGAAGCTATTTTCTATCAGGATTCTATTGATAAATTACTACAAAAATGGCAAGATATTATTAAAAAAATAGCTTTTGATGCAATTTCCAAAAAAAAAAAAAAATTCAATGGTTATCTAATTGGAATTTTTACCTTGAAACTTATCTTAATAACTATCAATGCTCAGGGATTTGATACAAAGATTTTATTGCAGCAACTAATTTAAACAATTCTCCAACTCAAAGACTTGTTGCATATTTACTTTTAGAAAAAGTAATTGTGTTTACATTTAAAAGAACATCAAATAGTCAACTTTCAATAAACCATTATTTAATATCTGAAGAAATTATTGTCCTAGAACCAGAAGAAGCATCAAAATTCTCCTATATAGTTGGATGGATTATTTATAAGTTAACCAAAAACGATCATATAACAAAATTACATCCTGAATTTGAATCTATTTGTGTCCATTTAAAGGCCTTAAATTTAGAATGAGTTGTATATGAACAGGATGTCCGATCTTAAACAACAAATGTAATTCCAGGACGTGAATTTTTAGAATTCATGTATAAAATGGAATCATTAGTACTGCTATTATTTGAAAAGCATAAAGAATTTGGGCCTAATATACTTCAATATATACATAATAGTTTATTATATAACTCACCGTTATTGGAATCTTTTAAAACACTTTTCAATATTTCCAGCCAACTACCCTTCATTAATTCTAAAAAGCAAGAATTAAAGAATGATGTTAAAAAATTTCTTTATGAGCGGATTATTACTATTTATATGAAGAGTAGACAAAAGTCATGGCGAAGATTTAATAATCTTATACCCGAAAAGAGAACTTCAAGCCTTCGAGAGAATTTTAAATCCATGCGCAATAATATTCAAAGTTTGAAAAACAAAAATACATCAATGAAAAAATCCAATATTCCAAAAGACCCATTGCTTGGATTAGCACAACTTCAAATATGGGTGCAATTGGATAATGCAGAAGAATTGTTTTCAAAAACATTTCTGGTGATTGAATTACAATGGTTACTTTGGGCATTTGGAGTTAAATAAAAATGAAAAGAGAAAAAAGAGTTTAATACCTTTAATTTTAGAACACTTAAAAAAAGGCATTTCTTTTTCTAAAGAAGCTATATCAAAGAGAGAATTATTTGCAGTTTGAATTATAGAGAATATTAATAATGAAGCCGTGTAGTTATCATTGTTCTTAATAAATGTGAAAGTGCGTCCTGAAAGTACATTAAACATAATGTTACTATAAATTAGACTTAATTCCAAAAAAAGAAATAATATTGCAATAGCTATAGTGGTCCAATTTGAGTAAAAACACTTCGCTTATATAGAGCTAGCGTGAGTAAACTTAACTTTTTAGATCAGCTGCTTTTCAGTATATGTGTGTCGAGAAAATTAAAAAAAAGTAAAAATTTTCACGTAATTTAGTATGAAAATTTGTCTGTATAACCAATTTTATGAGTGACAGTTCTGTCGGTCACTGATCAGTCTGTGTAATATTTGAGTTGGCCCCTCGTATATTTATCTAACCCCTAGGTATAACCTTATTATTTTATTTTAATATCCTATGGGCGGCGTGTCACAACATCAAACCACTATGACAATCAAATTTTTTAGTATCCTCCTACCCCCTAAAGAAGCCACTGACATGTTGAGTTCGTATAATATCTATACTTGGTTTAAAATAAAAATTAGTTACAAAAATTACAAAACATTATTTTCTTACCAAAAATTATTTTAAAATCTTGAACTTAATAATATAATATTAATTAATTCTCAAGCGTACAATGAGCATATTCATATTTGAATAACTTTTTAATAATTAATATTTTAATATTATTTTATTTGAGCCAAAAATTGACTGCAGAATTTTCTATTGAAATCTACTTGTATTTATACATTTTTTAAAAAAATTATTTCTAATATTTCTAATATTTACTACCTTTCTTCTAATAAAACTTGAAGATCTATTATCATATGACTATCTCGTTACACTAAACTAAACTATAAATATAATTTTATTGGCTAATTATTTACCCATCAGCTAATTATTTATCCTTCAGCTAATTATTTATCCTTATTCTATTTTATTGTATTTTCAGTTATTACAGTATTAAAATTTCAAAATCAATGATCACTCAGGTGATAAGGGGGTGACAGGTTGGGTACCGCAGTTTTTGCAGTATACTGATCATGGTAGTCATATGTTGGACTATCATTGGATTGACTTATCTAGGTAGATCTTAGGTTGAAAGATCGTTAGCAATGAGGTGGGTGTTCTCCATTTGGGATCATTTGTAATGAGGTAGATGTCCCCTTAGGATTGCATAATACTAAAAAGTTCTCCATTGGCTGGATTGCATGACACTAAAAAGTTCCCGAAGGCCTTTGTGAAGTAGGTTTGTTATCCATAGTATATAGTCAAATAGGGGAAATTGAATTTTATGCGTTTCTGATAGTGCTAATGGTAGCTCAAAGGTTCTTTATCAATTCTAGGAGTGAGTATGGTACTTGATAGGTTACGTATAGTATAGTTGACTTTACTCATTTTGAAATAGATTTGAAAGAAGTAGCCGTAGTTATTTGCATAGAAAGAGTGGGGTTTTATAATCTTAGCTTCTCTTTATATGTAATTTCAGAAGATTATTTATTCTTTGTTTTTCTATTAGTTCTGCACTTGTTGTAGTTCTTTTTAGAATACTCTGTATTCTCTAAAATGACTTATGGCATTAATTAATAAAATTCAAGCTCAAGCTATGTTTGCCCAGTTTTTGAACAGTGAATGCATTATTACAAAATCAAAAAAAAAAAAAAAAAAAANAAAAAAAAAAATTGCCAAATTTTGTATTACACAAATGTTATATAACATAATTTGGATTAATACTATGAATTTAGCCTGATTTAAAATTTTAATAGATATCCATCATAAAATGGAAGTATAATGGACATATTTTATATTACTTTGCCGATTATTTACCGATCACATTTTTCTTATTATTAAAAACAATTAAAAATTTTAAAAAAGTATTTAGCAAAGTAAATTTCTAACAAAATAAATTAAAAGTATGGCTAGTGCTTCAATCCGTTTCTGTCTCATCCGGATGAATTTGGATAAATCCAGATTTTTTTTTATCCGGATATCTGGATTTTAACCCAGATTTTGATCCAAATGGAAAATATCTGGTTTGAACCAGAATCTGAATAAGTTTTCATATATATTTACTATATTCACGTAATATATCACTATTCAATAATCGTAAAAGACGATTAATAGCTTATTGGAATCATCTTATCATCGCATCGATAACTTTCAAATGGTACTAAAATGAGCTTTCTAGCTTCGATAGATAATGAGATAATTTTTAAAATATTTACATAAATAACTTGCTATCTATTGATGCTAGAAAGGTTATTTTGGTACTATTTGAAAGCTCTCTATAGGTGGATTCTAATGATCCATTAATCATTTTTTTACGATCACTGGATAGCGAGTTATTGCGTGAAAACAGTTCTAACTAATTAGAAAAGAACTGTAAAATAGTTTTTTTTTAAATGTAAAATATATTTAAATGTTCTTTATTTTATTAACTTTAAAAATGTAAAAAATACACCTTTTCAATTCAAATATGAAGATAAAAAAAAATTTAAAAAATAAAAAATTTTGCTAAATTGTTAAAGTATTTGAAAAAAAAATACAAAATAAAAAAATTAATTATTTACCATTCTTCTGATTCAAATTTAGGCAAAAATTCCTCTATAAAGTCTTCTTTTTTCACATTTAAGTCTGGAGAAAATACATTAATATATTTCATAGTTTGCATATTACGCTTTAAAAATATCATTTTTTCTAATAAATCAGAATCTAATGAATTTCTTTTTGCTGTAATATGGTTTCCTGCATCTGAAAAAAAACATTCAGAAGATACAGAAGTAGCAGGAATACCTAAGTATTTTTCTGCAAGTAAGGAGAGAATAGAAAAAATTTCACATTTACCCTATAAAAAATATGTATATAGTTTTTATACTGTATATACGTATTTTTGATACAGTTTGCATTTTTACATATGGCATATCAGTATAATGTATACTGTTCGCAAAATGTGTTTAGTAAAAAATACAATAAAGTATATGGTAAACATACTGTGTGATACAGTATATTAAATTCATACGTCTATAACGTATATCATTTCTACTGTATATCAGTATTTTGTATACGGTTCACAAAAATATTGTAAATAAAGGATACGGTATACAGTCAACTCCCTCTATAGTCACTTCCATTATAGTCACATTCTACTATATAGTCACACCAGTTGAATGTTCAAAACACTTTATTATTAAAATCTATCCTATATAGTCACAAACTATCTATAGTCACTATCACACCTATCCTCAAAAATCTTATATTAAAAAGAACCATTTATAATCACAGTTATATAAAGAATATATTAAATAACTTGGCATCTAATAATCGTACAAAGATGTACCATAGCTTGTTAGAATCGTCTCACTGAGACGAATCGAATGGTGGTAGTTTTATCCTTTTACGATAACTGGCTGATGAGTTATTCAACAAAATGTTAAGCATCAGCATTATTATATTCCTTGATTTACGTTTACTGCGCAATTTAACATTTTGCTAAATATCTCGGTACCTAGTGATTGTAAAAAGACGATTAAAAAGGGTTGATCACCCTATCTCAGTGGTTAGTCACTGAGACCCTCATTAAGCCTGAGTATGGTGAGGTCGCAGGTTCAATTCAAAAGAACACGGAAATAAAAAGAATTTTACTGCGGACGCTACAACCAATAGCGTGAAGGTACAGGGATTAGTGTAGTTGGACTGCATCATGGTGAATTAGTATGTACAGTTAGGCTGCACATTTCAACTAAGAGTCATGGTGTCCTTCTAACGTTCCTTATGAGGCCATTGGCATGTACGCAGTCCTGTCCTTGAGGTCACTACTATACCTTGGGGGGACTTCCTGTCCGGGTGGTCACTCTACGATACCACTTGGGGTCAGTAATGGCTAGATGGTCATCCTAGATGGTAAAGCTGAGGGTGCAATGTCTTAGTGGTAGTTTGACCTTCTGTTAGGTCTTAGACCAACCAAGGTGTTCATGCACAGAACAGGTAGCATGGTTATGAGGTTCGATTCCCTACTCTTTGGGTCCTGGTTGGTGATCCCTGGTGGTTGATACCCACCATAAGGGGTGATCCTGGACAGATGCCTGCTACTTCCTGTCTGAGTGGTCACTACAAAGTATACCAC